GTTTTGGAGTGCACACAGAAGCAAGCTCTCCATATCTCACAGTCTGGGCTCTGTACCAGCTCTAAGGCACCTCTACATTATCACAAGCTAATTGTTAGAATTGCTATCCATCAGCAGGTGCTGGAATGTGCCATCTGTTTTGCACTATTAGACATGCAAGTGACAGCCTGGACAGTTTTGATACAAAAGTCAGTGTATGTGATAGAATGAGCCAGTATTTTATCTGTAAGTATACTGCAGTCCACCACCCATTTCCAACATTCTGGGTTAGCTTGGGTCAGCCTTCTGCTTTTGAGGTACCTTCAGCAGTTTGTAGCTCACACCCCATACAGGGTCTGGGACAATAGAAAAATGTGCATCATGAAAACATACAATGTATTAAGATCATCAGGTCTCCAGGAGAGGTGGATGTCTTCTAGCACCTGCAGAGATAAACAGCCAGCATAAGGCAGACTGTTATGACAAGCATGCCCAAAGCTTAAGGCTAGCAAATTAACTGCCAAGCTGTCAGCTGGATGCAACAGTATCTGCTGGGTGCAGTCCCTGAACAACATGTTCATGCAGTATGTCAGGGACATGTTACTGCATGTTAAGCTACCTATACTCTCTGGCTTTGGTGTACTCTGTTCATGTGTTGGCGTATAGAGGGGAGAGCCCGTCTCCGCTTTCCTTACCACTGCCAAGCTTCAGCTACAGTCTTAGGCATGCTCAACCATTTCTTCATTTTATATAGCCAGAGGTCTACCTGATCCCAGCCACCACAGCAGTAAAGGCATACAAGGCTTCACAGTGGGTCAAGATCTCAAAGTAGACTTGAAGTCAGCAATAAAGGCAACCAGCTTTGGATGGACTAGGCTGACCAGGGAAGTGGTTGAGTCACCACCCCTGGACTCAATGATCTTAAATATCTTTTCCAACCTACATAATTCTATGATTCCTTAAAAGCATCTCAATTATAACTTCTTAACACACATGGCTATATGAAAACCAACTCCAGAAATCATGAGCAGGTATCTCCTCTTTCCCTAGTATTTACCTATCTATACCGTAAGAATTTTAAAATTGTAGAAAGACATTTTACTATGTGACACAGGTAAAACTTTCAAAAAGGATCCTACCCTTCTTAAAAATAGACATCAGTACATATTCCATGACAGAATACAGGGTTTTAAAAAGAAACCCATATGGGTTTAAAAAAAGAATTGTTAAAAATCTTCCTGCCTTAAAAAACCTTCAGTGATCATCCTTCCACCCCAAATAACTAACCAGTAGTCATAAAACATCAAAACACTAGAGTATTACATGAGATACTAGTCATTAGGAAGCATTTCGTACAATGTCCCACTGTGAAGCTTAAGAGCAGAATTTGGACAAAGGAAGGAATAAAATATTTCTTTAAAGAAGCTAAAGCATCTGTTTTGATAACTAAAGATAAGTTAAATAGGGAAGAGTTGGCAGCTACCAGAACAAAAAAAAAAAAACCAAGCTTTACATGTACTGACCTTTGTTATTCTTACCTACTAAAACTGTTGTTTTAAAATTCCACTGCTGCTTGTCTCTGTATATACAAAGACCACTCACCAAAATGTTTCCATTATGCATCAACAATTTTGACTTTGGGTCTCTCAACGTAAATCGCACTAACAAGGCTGCACATGCAATACAGCACACTGTGTTGTGCATTCATCATCAAGGTCACAGAATTTATCCTCTCAGGTAACATACAACTAAGTTATCTGTGCACTTTGAAGTCACACAAAAATAGCCTGTAACGCTGTAGCAGTGGTTTTCATACGTTTGCCAGTTCTCACCAGTTTTCCCAATTCCTCAAGCTGAAGACGGCAGAGATGCTACCAGTATCTTTCTGCCTTTCATACTTCCAAGCTCACAGTAACAACCCCTGACAGCTAAATCCCACAGTTCCCTTTCCTTTGAGCTTCATAAAGTTTGTATTTATTTACCTGGGTCCACCCTAAACACTCCTTGATCTAAAGTTTCTTTTTGGTCATAATTTCCAGCATTCTTTTCCTCCTAAAGTACTTAGGAGCCATCTTGCAATCAAAACAAAAAAGAACAAAAGTGAACCAAACAAAAAAAATCCCTTCAGAAGATAAACTAGGCAGTGGGACCAACTCTCCTTTTTTATGCCCACAAGCAATCTCCAACACATTCGTTGTGCTGCGCTGTTTCTGGTTCCTCCTCCTGGCTCATTCGTAGAGTTCCTTCCTATCTTAACTTGCTCCTGCATCCTTTACTCCCTTGACACTGTACAGAAGTATTTCTCATCATGCTTCCAGTTGCAAAGCGCATTTCCCCCTCCTCTTTCCTTCCTTTATTTCTACCTCTGAAGCTCAAGTTCACTAAAATATATGATCACTGTATGAACTCATTTGTGTGCTTCCACTGTTCCCATTCCACATTTCTAGCTCCTTGCTTCCTAATGCAGCCCACATTTTAAAAATGCACTTTTATGTTGCTCGATGCTGCTACTAGTCACTCGTGCACTCACTTTCTTCAATACTTTTCTCACTAGCTCCTTCAGCACCTCCCTTTAATGATTCCAACTACTTGTTCCTCCTCCCTGGGCAAGGTTTGTCATCTTCCTCCTCCCATTACCCTCAGGCAACATCTGCAGTCTCCTATTCTTAAAATAAGAAATTGAGTACTCTTCTTCTCACTTGTCCCCTGTGTTCCCTCCAGCAAGCAAGCTGTCAACACCTCAAACTCAAAACAGTAAAAATAAAGCAAATGATACCTATCTTCCCTTCTGTGCATGCAGGCGATCTTAAATTATTCTACACTCAAAGTCTGTAATCTAAGACTTCTTCTCCCCTTAAGTTAAGCCTTCCCAATTCCTTTTTCCAACTACAAAGGCCTTTGCTATCACCGTACCTCGGACAGATGTAAACACTTCCCCTTTCCAGTCAGCTGGAATTTATATAAACCTCTCTACAATCTCTTTTAGAAGTCACATTCTTCCATTGTCTGACATGATTCATCTTTCTGAACCAGACCCCAAAGCAACTTCCTTCAATGTCCACCCTGTCCATGTCCTTCTCCCTCTTCCTTAAACTTCTGCCAAAACTTACATTGTTCTTAACATCTCAATGTCTCACTTATTTCTCCTAAGCCTATCTTTTTCTGTATGCCATCAATGACTCACACTGCCACCCCAAGCCAACCTGCCACTTTAGAACTAAAGCTTTAAGAGACCTCCAAAGAATCCGTACCTACAGTATTCTCCAGAAAATTAGCTTTTTCTACATAAACACCATTGAAGCCTCAAGTTATTCCCTCCCAGTGCAAACATCAGCATGCTGTTCCATACTACAAAGTATCTTATCCAAGCATATATTATATGTAAAATAACTAAATTTATTAATCTGAGACAGAGAAAGGTACTCAATAAAAGGGCCATTAACTATTTTTGTGACAAGGTGACAAGGAAAAGAAACTGTCATTGTAACACTGTAACTGACTTCCCAATATATTTAACAATTCAAACACACAAGTAATAATAGCGTACCTTTATTTTAACACATGCACTGCACTGATGCAGTAGATACAATGCCATCAGTCTTCTCTTTGCACAAACTACTATCAATCAAGCTTTGAAACAGATCACATTTCAAGGTGGAAGCAGCATTTGGTGCAAAGAATTATTAAAGAAAACCCTAATGGCAACCAGATCTCATGAACTATTTGCATACATAGTGCAGCAACCATAGCTATTTCCCACTGGCCTTAAACATGGATAATCAACTGCAGCAGTTTGCATTTGAAAATTCTAATACAAAGAGTCTTTTTTGTCCTTTAGAAATCTACACTACAACAACAAATGGACTGACAGTGTATATATATTTGCTCAAAATCAATTCAGCAACTTAAAAAATATAAAGTTCAGTGTTTACTGAATTGCTTTATACTGCATGTATCACTTAGAAAAAAATCCTACGTTAGAAAAGTTTACAGAAAAAAAATCCTCCAACTCTCTTTATACTTTATCAATTGAAAATGAAAGATTTGCAAGCACTGCTGCCTTTCACCTATCAATATATAATTCAGGTCCCCTCATCATTCTGGGAACTGTGTTCTGGCAGCCTTGTGCAGTGATGCTAAAGAAAGTGCTAGCATTGGTACAGCAAGCCAGCAAGCATATTAAGTCACCTTCCACTTCACAAGTTTCTTCCCTAGACAACAACCATCCCCACCTGTGACCAATTTCTACATCTATCAAGTTCACTCAGGAACGTCTATGCCATAAACCCCATCCCAGTGAATGCCCATGTGCTTAATTTCACTTACATGAGTAAACAGTAAGAATCAATGGAATATTAATGTTTGCAAAGTTAAGGGTACATGTAACTGTTTACAGGATTGCATTAATTTGCAGCTATACAATATACAGATTGCAGTCCTGTATCATAAATGAAGGGTCATTACTAAGTAATAGGCAATAATATCAAGGTATTTTCTGGGAGGTATACAACAGAGCTAAAACACTTGGGGAAATGCAAGATACTTCTCCTGCTGAGAGGGAGGCTCTGCTTTTTGGGAGTACTGAGGGGTGCATACGGTGTAAGGCACAGAAGAACTGTGCCCCATGTACATTAACAAATTAACATTAAATGCAATAACATAGAACAGTATGACTGAAGAATACTTCTATGGGCTCTCCAAACTGAAAGCATTTTAATGGCACAATTATATGCCAAATGAAGAGAAAATGTTTTCAAGTTTTGCAGTATCTGGAAATCTACATACGATACTTGATTTCATGAACAGCTGATATACGTTGGACACAGTAAAATTCTTCTTTACGTATGATTTAAGAATACAGATCTTAGTAGTAGTTTGTTTTGTTTTCATTAATAGTATCTTGGGGGGTGTGGGGTGTGTGAGCTTAACTCCCTCTAACAAAACAAGGAAAATGTTAATAATAGGTGTTAAACAAAAAAGAATAAAAATCATTATGGCCCAGGATTAAAGTGTTCAGGGAAATAGTGCACTTTTTATTCTACCTTGGAAATGCACAGAAGGGTTACAGTCCTTCCTACCTCCCTTCAAGTGGGATCTTCTAAACACTGAAAGCAAAGGTTTAGTCATATACTGGACATTCTTACAAAAATATAACTTTTCAGACAACATGAGAAAGAGAAAAATGCCTTATCTTTCACAACAAAACTATTTTGCAACCCAGCTTCCACTGATTTTTATACTGCAAGTGGACCTAATTCAGCAAGAGCCCCACACAACATTGTCAGCCTGTGGCAATACAACCAGGACTTACCCTAGTGAAGTATACATACTTGCCTCAAAACATTCAGTACTGACACACATGAATCTAGATCGTACCCACAATTCTTCACCCTCTAAAGCAACCTTTCTTTCTTCAAAAACATAGTGCTTCCCATAAGGTTGAGGAGCATATGCCCACAAGAATCCCATTACACTCAATTTCTTGCATCTTGTGTGGTGGGATGGAAAACCAGCTTTAATTTTCATGCCAACAGAGTTCGAAGTGCCTCTATAGCCTACTGTTAAATCCCTATCAAAAATCTAAATTATCAATATGGCAGCAGCTAAAGAATTCCATGAGGTGAAAGGTCAAAGCTTCTCCTGCAGAAGAGATTACAGCAAATTAAACTAGAGTGAATAAACAAAATTAAAGATTAGCTTTATTCCTTTGCAATGAGGGTATAGGGTATTCTTTCAGAATTTTTTTTCCTTATTTAGTTATGCCCTTCTCTGTACGGAAGCACTGCAATGTTCATTTTTAAAAATCAAAAAAAAACCCTCCATCCTTAAAAAGCACCATAAAAAAAAAATCTGGTAGAAAAAAACAAAAATAACCCACAAACAAACTCCATGGACCACCCTACAGGGGTGAAATGCTAAAGATGTCTTTTTTAATCAGCTTGTGAAGATCTACAAAAAAATAAAAAGGATCACATTCTAAAGGTTCAGTGCATTCGGCAGCTATACAGGTTTGCTGCTTATTCATCTTTAAGTTGACTTTCAAAAATAACACCCTAGCTCATCAAAATATACATTTTCCATTTGCTTTTAAATTAAAATAATAATAAAAACATTTAAAGAATTCACAATCAATAGTATGACTAAGTTTCAGGATCATCTACAGCATATAATTTAAAGGTTCAAGATGACAATATGCAGCACGTGGCAGGCCTATATGCTCCATGCAGCATGTACGTTTAGGATAATCTCAAATAATCTTGATGTTCAGATGTCCGTTTGTTTCTTCCAAATAGTGTAGAACACCCATCTGGAGAAAGTAAGAAGTTAAGGAGAAAAAAAATCTCGACGTTTGTAGTAGACAGTTAAAAAGGTAGGTTTTTTTTTTCTACTTATTATTTCAATATGTCAACAACTGCTTGAATTTCCCTCAGCAACTCTGGTAAACACCAGAATTTCAAGTAACAAGTACACACAACAACAATTCTTTAAGCAGGCAAAACAAATAACAATAAAGTGATAAGCCAGCTTAGTACTTTGGCTAGTCAGGTACCCATGCAGGTAACTTCTGGTCAGGTTAAAGAAATGAACATTTGTGTAAGTGAAAAGATTTGTTCAAACGGCTCAGGAGATTTCGGGCACTTAAATGAAAGTCACAGAATCATAGAATAGTTAGGGTTGGAAAGGACCTTAAGATCATCAAGTTCCAACCCCCCTGCCATGGGCAGGGACACCTCGCTCTAAACCATATCACACAAGGCCTCGTCCAACCTGGCCTTGAACACTGCCAGGGATGAAGCATTCACAACCTCCCTGGGCAACCCATTCCAGTGCCTCACCACCCTAACAGGAAAGAATTTCCTCCTTATATCCAATCTAAACTTCCCCTGTTTAAGTTTTAACCCATTACCCCTTGTCCTATCACTGCAGTCCCTAATGAAGAGTCCCTCCCCAGCATACCTATAGGCCCCCTTCAGATACTGGAAGGCTGCTGTGAGGTCTCCACACAGACTTCTCCAGGCTGAACAGCCCCAACTTTCTCAGCCTATGTGTTGCATTCTTCAGGGAGAAATAAACCCCTCATTTTTAATTACCTGTCATAATTATACTGTAAACCATCACATCTTTCAGCCATCTACGAAACAGCATGTAGGTATAAACTTCCATTCAGATAAAGATTCCCAAGTGAGAATATGTTAATTTCAAGAAACGTATAAATCTGTACCTGAAATGCACTAAAGAGATATCAGAAGACCAAGGCCAAATAAAGTTAAGAGTATGTACTCTGGGCTATTCTGAAGTCATCAAGATGACTTCTTTGAGATTCCAATACCTATACTACTATATCATTGTTAATTTATTCAGAAAAAGCAAACTTATGAAGTTTGCCCCATTTCCGCAAAAGCTTTTCACTTTCAAATGCTGTTATACTTTAGTGACCAGTTTTAATCAACCTATTGCTAAAAATATTTTGTATTTGTTATCCTACTAGGAACATTTATTTAAAAGTAGCATTTCCACTTAATTAAGTTAGAAGCATTTTGCATGCTTCCCAAAAAAAAACAAAAACAAAAACAAAAACAAAAACAAGCAGTAAGTATTTACAAGACTTTCTGAGGATGCATACTTCAAATCACATACATGTTGCATTAAGGTCTGGTAGCTGTAAAGGTAAAAATAACCAGTTTCTCCGAAACTGAAAGCTACAAGGGCAAATATCTTCATATCCTCTTTCACTCTTCCATTGTCATATTTAAAAAATTAAGATCAAATCTGAGTCTCACTGGAGAGCTGAAAATAATGAGAAACAGGAGGAGCTTGCTACAGTCAGCATGGAGTACAGAACAGCAGGCTACAGCATTAAACAGTAAGAAGACTGGAGACAGAGAAGGCAAACTGAAAACACAGAAGAAAGGATGTGGAAGTTTCACATGCATAATGTACTATGAATAAGCAGATCCTGGAAAGATCTCTCCTGTTGAGAGAGGGACAGCCACAGTAGGCATTACCCTGCAGAAACATTTCCTGGAAGATCACACAAAAGTGGTAAACACTCAAGGCAAATGCAGCCAGCAGAACCACTGTATAGCAGATCAAAATGCCTCTCTAGAGCCAGTGCCTTGAAGCTGAAACTTCCATCTCCTTGTATAATTTGCCTGCCACCCACAGATTTTTAGTAATGCTAACTAGTAATGACTGTTAAGAATCACTTTTTTCTTCCATAAAAAATATGCAGGCTGAGCTATATGCATGTTCAATAGATCCAAGCATATTTAATGATCTGGGTCATGCTAATCTGTATTAAGAGACTTTGGGTGGGTTTTTGGGGAGGGTGGGGGAAGATAGCCTTGCCAGAACTCCCGGGCAGGATTACTCTCATCCTACAGTTTATCCTACATCACATAAACAGTACACTTGGAACACTCGAAAATGTTAACAAAAATATAGCCTGATCTTCAAAGGTGACAATCATTTCACCAGCTGTGAATTTATGGCACCTTTAAAAAAACAATTCCTGCAATTATCCTCAAAATAAAACTGCAATAGTTCATTTACTATGAAAAAAACATTAATAGCATTTAAATTAGAACTGCCTTCTTGCACTCGAGTTCATTACCTCCAAGCAATCTAGGCTTGCTTGATTTATTAATACAGACTTTCCACTCTTTTTCAGTTTGTAAGGATACAATTCCATGTAGGAGGGAACACACACAGTTTCTTTTGAAAATTCCACAGGACAATAAAGCCTGCTAAGCTGTTCTTCATATAGAGTCAAGGCATCGGTCAGATTGATACAGTTTCCCTGAAGGAAAAAAAAAGAGAGAGAAAAGTCCCAGTTACAGACAAATAAGCGAAACTGCAATTGAATATATACATTTTGACATTAATGTAAGGCTCCCACGTACTTCAAAACCAGATACATGCTGTTCTTAATATTTACAAGGCAAATTCTGAACAGCTTGTCTTCACTGTGCCTACAGCAAACAACAATTTGTATCTTTTCAAGAAAGTAAGTATGGGGCATATTACCCATCTTCTCATTAGTAGAAGCAACCATTACATTACGGCTTCCAGTTAAAACAGATCACCATGTGTTGTTTACCTATAAGATCTACTCAAAAACCATTTTCTTTATGATTGCTTAAATATATCAGTAAACAGTATCACAACATCCAGATTTTCTCAATTATTTAACATTGTCAGGTTCTTACAACATAATAAACACACTATAAAAAACACTACAACTTATTAAACAGATTCTTCCACAGAGCAGTATGACAAAATCTATCAGATTATACAGGAGTTCTGTGGCTGCAGGCTACACTGTCTTGAGTGTATCATGCTTCTGAAAAGGAAGTGATTGCCAGGACACTTTTTTCTTGGACCCCCTGTTACCTCATTTAAAAATATTACTTCTTCTGAGCAAAATAAAAATCAGTGCTTATTTTTCTCTAACAGTGCAACTATGAAATACAAGACACACTGAATTCATAACACTCCCAGAAAAATTATTACCCAAATGAATCATTCTTGGAATACAAACAAATCTCAAGGATAACAAATGGTGAGGAATTAATCCCCCCACCAAACAAAACCCAAACCTCCTAATTACAAGCACAACTTTATCCAAAGCTAAGTATTTACGAGTGTAACAGTTACTGTAATATACACCTGGGATGCCCACACAGAGAAAGCTTTAATTAGGAAGTGGCTATCCATAATAGGTTTGAAGATTTAGTGGTAACAGTGAGCTCACAGAACACTAAACTGAACACACTACCCAAGCAAGCATGCAAGTTTTTAATTAAAAAGCTTCTTGCTTATATAAGTGAGTAGGGTAGCTGGTACTTTACAAGTTATTTGGACACTAATTTAAAATGGAGTAAAGATGAAAACAGCCACCACTGCACGGTCTACAAATCACTCAGCTGTTGTTTTCCAGGTACAAAACACTGAATAAACACCCATCAAATATGAATATACTGTTGCTGTGGCACAATACAGAGACACGACATTCTGGGATTCTGATCAAGGGTGACAAGAGGGTAGCAGCCCCTGGCACACTGACAGCCAGATGAATTATTAGTCGTCTTCTACCCCCACCACTTGCATGAGGAACCTTCAGCTCAACCTACAGGCCCCAAACACTATTCCCAACTATGCTTCACATTACACATGAACAGCAAGTTTTATGACAATAATGAATCTACTCTGACCACACAGCATGCACATACCTGGTCATACGTGAGGGCAGGATGAGACATCTTAAGGAGATGGGTGTCCCCATCCTTTCCTAATGGTTGGGTTTACTAGCTTATAGCATAAATGCCTTTCTCCTTGGCCAGGCACGAAGCCTTCTTTTTCTGATTTCTAGTCAGTAGAAACAGAAGCATTAACTAGCATTTCTCCAGTTACTTTCAACTTAAAAATCCTCAGCTTTCCCACACATTTTAACCACTTCTAGTGGAGGAACAACACTTATCACAGAAGACAAAAACAGGGAATGGAGCTCCTAGTAACCTAATATACAAGCCAGTGTCCCACAAAATGACAGCAAGAGACCTAAGGCACAAAAGTTTGCTGTTATCTCAGATTACAAGAACATTAGTATCAATGATATAGGGAAATGCATAAGACAGAAAGAGATCTAGTTAAAGAAAAAAAGTTAATAAAATAATTAAAAAAAAAAGGAAAACAGTCATTCACTAATACAGCTAAGTTCTTGGTTGTAAGCACTGAGCAGAGTACTGTTTCTCTACTAGCCCTGAACTCTGCAAGAGAGAGAGACAAGAACAGAAAGCCTCAAGTAACAGCCTCCATCTACAGACCAGCAGTGTCTCCCCTCTGCTCTGAATGACTTCTGGAAATGTTTGTGCATTCACACAAATAATTTTGTTGGGGCTTTTGCTGTTGCTATTGTTCCCTCCCTCCCCCCCCCTTTATTTAGTGAGGTTTCTTGTCCCTTTCTGCCCTTAGATGAAGTGTGTAACTGGCATCTGACTGTGAAAGAATGCAGATGGTTCAACTAAGAAAAAAGAGCTGGACCCAATTAAAAACTATAGCTCTCTTAGAGTCACAGCTTCCTGAATATTTTAAGACCTCTAACTTGAAATGAAAGTCAAGTCCTATAGGACCAAAATAACAAAGGATTTATTCAACACTTCCAAAATGCCTGCACTACCTATGTTTCATATATGCGCACTGCTCTTCTAACACACTGTGAAGCTTTCAACTCCAAGAGAATGGTTTTTGAGAAAGATGTGTTCTACTGCTTAACTTTTCAGTGTTCTCAGACTTTTTAAAAAAATGGCCTTAATGAAGTGCATACAACTGAAAGTTAATTTTCACAAAGCAAGGAACTAAGATGAGTCTGGCCAACAAATACTATCTGTGCTCTTAAAAACAATGTACAACACGCAGAGTTATTTGAAATCAGTATGTCTGAACAGCTCCATCTATACTTCTTTCATGTGCTATCAGGTAACTAGAAACAAAGTTTATATCACACATTCTGACTTCAGTATTTCAACTATTTTTTTCCCAGCTTCTTTTTATTGGTAGGATTTTTTTCCACATTGTATTTAAAACATTTCTAGAGTAAGCGAGAAGAGACTTTATTACTGTTCCTCACAGTGATTTTTTTTGCATTGTGCTCAAGTTTTCACAAGTGGAAAACTTCTTTACATAGCATCTCTAAACAAAAATAAATTCTTATATTCTTGAAAGCTCGCTCTCAAAAGAACTTGCACAGAACATGCATTTGATTATCATTTTGGTCATATTTCACAAACAAACACCTACTTGTTTATTTGTTAAAGGAAGATGGCATGCTTTTTAATATATCATAGTTAGTTTGGGGTGTCAGAAAATGAAAGCGGTTTGTAAGAAGTTGAGAGATGAACACTGAGCACAACTGCACGAAGCACAACAATGAACAGACTGCTGTAGTATTTGTTTAGTAACTTGTTATTATCCAGGGGACTAGAGCAGTTATTTGGTTCAGCCACCCTTTACCAAACATATAATTTTGTTTCAACATCAGACTGAATGCAAAAGAAAACTAAAAAACAACCTGTGTGTATAATTTGAGTCATAAATAGAAAGCACTGCTAGGTAATTTATGGTGCATACCACTATTACAGAAGAAGTTTAATGGGATACACAATGAGATAAAAGTATCTACAGTTTCCCAGCTTATCTCTTCAGTGTTTCATCCTTTCTCCTATTTCCAGCAACAAATCGCTGCAGTGTGGAAAACTAATTACAGTAACAATGAGCATGCCAATAAGCAGTTTTTACTTTTCAAACACACAACTCCTCAAACTCCAAATCAAGATCTTACCTAAAGGTACCTACAGTGTTGATAATGTCAATCACATGCAGATGTTCCTGTATCATTGAAATATGACACATGGAACCAAGCCCAGAATGCAATAAAGTGACCAGTCAGATAACCTATGTTAACTTTAACCACCCACCTCATGAAAATAGTTATGTGATAGAGCAATAGAATCACAGAACGGTTTGGGTTGGAAGGGACCTTAAAGATCATATAGTCCCAACCCCCATGCTATGGGCAGGGACACCTTCAGGACTAGACCAGGTTGCTCAAAGCCCCACCCAACCTGGCCTTGAACACTGCCAGGGATGGGGCTTCCACAGGTTCTCTGGGCAACCTGCGCCACTGCCTCGCCAGCCTCATAGTGAAGAATTTCTTCCCAGTATTCAACCTGAACCTACCCTCTATCAATTTAAAGTCATTCCCACTTAACTTGTTACTACATGCCCTTGCAAAGAGCCCCTCTCCAGATTTCTAGGCCCCTTTAGGTACTGGAAGGCTGCTGTAAGGCCTCCCTGGAGCCTTCTCTTATCCAGGCTGAACAATTCTGGTTCTTCTCAGCCTGTCTTCATAGAAAAGGTTCTCCAGCCCTCTGATCATCTTCATGGCTCTCCTTTGGACTTCCTTGAGGTAGCCCCACATCTCTCATGTTGGGGGCTGCAAGAGCTGGACGCAATACTCCAAGTAGAGTCTCATGAGAGCAAAGGGGAGAATCACCTCTCTTGACCAATACATGGTTTGTTCTAAACAGCCACTATATAATCAAACGATGACTAATACTGAACAGTGTTTAGTAAGGTTTAAAACTGATGACTTACCAATTACATTATTTCAAAGGGAAATAAACAAAAACCAGACTTTTCTCCCACACTGTTCAGTCAATTTTCAACATATGCAAACCACTACAAACTCCTCGGCCTGCCTCCCCTTAATCTTTGTTCCATGTCAAGAATCTGGACAGATAAGAATTATTTTATTCTCTTTAACAAGCATCTCTCTCACAAAAGTATTTGAGGTAGTTTAAAACTTTGAGATTAGTCAATTTGTATTGGTAAGGCCTTGCTTATACGGTCAGTCAATGTAAAACTAAACTCTCAGTAACATCATCATCATGGCTTGACTTCACGAACAAAGATTTGGGAAGGGCCTTACCCACGTTTACTACAAGCGCACTGATGACTAAAAAGGCCAATGCGAGATAGGCAAATCCGGCTGCAAAAAGCACAGCAAAAGGTCTCCTTGGGTGGTACAGGCGGGGTACGATTCTTTCTATGTTGTCTTTTCTCCTCGAGAGTAGTTCTGCAAACACAAGGAAATGAAAAGCCTGTCCCTTGGAGTCCCAACCTGCCAAGAAATCACATAGGCTCACACAGGGACCTGTATCCATTCTTCCTCCCTCCTTTTACACTGCAGTCAAGGAGAACCCTGGTCCCTCTTTGGAAGTACATGCTAATTAGAAAACCCACGCAGCAGCCAAAAAAAGGGAGTTAAACTATGGAACAAGAGTGCTCTGGACATTCAGAGGGCAGGGCCACACTGTATTAGAGGGCAGCCAGGAAGTGACAACTTGGTGAAGAGCCACATGTGCCCGTGGGAGACATCTGATCTTCTGCAGCAGTGGTCAGTGCTGTTTACTGGAACCCAAACCCGTGAGTGGTCTGAGACTGTTTCTATCCTGTCTGGGTTGGATGACCCAGACTAGGAAGAAGCAAATTCCTGTTCAGAGATATTTTTAAAGGTTCCACTTCATAAACAGGCTAAAAATGATAGCCTGTTCAACCTCAAAAGATTAGATCAGCAGAGCAAAAACTTAGCATAGAAAAAGGCATCTCCCTAGCCACAGCTACAATCCACTGACAGAGACAACATGATCACTGGACTCTGCAGCTTATAAAGCATAGTGTCACAGCTGGTGGGACAATATTCATGTGCTACTTTAAAAGGTGCAGGATGGTGACAGTTCAGAGAAAAAGCCACAAATGTATCACACTAGTATAGTATCTAAGCTTATGTATCACAGTAGTATAGTATCTAAGCTTACACATACTCCATTTAAGTTAAAAAAAAAAAAATCACTTGAGCAACCTAAAAATCATGCTGGCTTTTAGAAAGTCCAACAGAGCTGAAATAGGACCTTAGGATGCATCAAATTCTTACATCCTCACTGACTCCCACTTTTCTTCCCTGTGATGGTTGGAAACCTGTAACTGCCTCCCCTTGCAGAAGGCAACACTGAGCACTTCACAGACCCAGATCTATATTATGTTACTAAACACTTGAAAGCACCAGCTTCAGAAGGAGAAGGAAGAAAAGAAATATAGCCAGTCATGTGACCCTTAAGCATCAGAATAGCGGTATTATGTTCAACAGTAAGTTTTCACAAGCAAAGTAAGTCTTAAACTTACAGACTTTAAGACTCAAGTCTTAAATTTACAGACAGGGCTGAAAGTTCTGAAGGCTAAGGGCCCTGAAGGTCACCCTCTCTGTCCGTGTCCTGTGTAGGCTACAGGACTCAATATGGATCACACAGCTAAAAAAGCACAGGCATGAAAAGCAAGGCTGCTATTTATACAAGCAAATTGTTGCTCTCACTGTGATTACTATTTGTGGCTGTACAGAGCAAGCATGAAGGTCGTCCCCCCCCCAATATATGTAAGTACAGAGTCATAGCAGCAAAAAAGCAAGACCCATAAAACTGCCCTTCCTACCTTTCCAGTGGTGAAACAAGCTAAAAGTCCCTCCTTCAGTCCTAAAACTGGCCACATATGTTCCTGCATCCCCGAGGAATACGAATAAAGAATCTGAAGAACCGTTCACAGGCAGAATCTCTCTAAACTGCCAGGCAATATCAGTTACCAGTCTCCACCTAGTGTTGAAAGTATATTCTGCATTACCATTCATAGACCACTTTGAGGATCACCATGGCATTCCAAGGAACAACCACCTGTGTAAGAGTAACATGCCAAAAAAATAATTATTTTGATAATTTCAGATAAATTATATCTACCTAGAGTTAGCCAGCTCTAAACCCTGCCTGCTGCCAATTCGTGTGCTGAAAAGAACGTTTTCCAAAACTTGTGCAGATCTCAAAGAAGAGGTGATGAGCGTTTTCATTTATTTTTCTCCAGCAGTGCCAATTAGAAAGTCAGGCAGCAATACAGCAAGTGAAAGGCTGGCATTCTGTGAACAGAAATCCACTTTTGGGTAAAGCATTTCTAGAGCACTGAAATAAATTACATTCTCACAAGATGCGCAAGATAATCCCTGCAAGCAGAACTATCAGAGGAAAGGCTACGAACTACAGAAGTTTCAAGTATCTACACAATATAATGCCAAGGCAGAAGCAGCAACTGTAGCTACTGGGCAGCAGCCAGCAGGACAATGACTCTTGCAGCTTCTCTCCTGTGAGACACTTCCCCATCATCACAAAGGTCAGGCTCTAACAAATTGGTGGACATTCCCCCCCAGTTGCTTTTCTTGATGACAAGTAACATGTTTTACGCTTTCAAGAAATCTGGGAAGGAGGAGGGGAGAGGGAAGGTGAGGGAAGGAGCAATGGGAGAGTTGGAACAAAAGTAACTTAAATTCCCAGTGTTAACACACAGAAATAAAAGCCCCTGACATTTAACAGCTAACAACATCAGAGAATTCCAAACCATTTATGAGTTCCCAGCGTGTGACTAATCTCAGCTATGAAAGCCTGTAGTAGTCATGTTTCAACTTCTGTTTAACCCAATCCTCTGGATATTCAGTTTCAACTAGTTTAATGCAAAACTTAATGGAAGTTGAAAACAGCTGATTTTATTTAAAGCACACCTAAAAGTTTATTTTTCCTATTATCAAACTCGTAAGTTCTGAGGGTTTTTCTCTTTGCTTTTGCTTTCAAATCAGGCCCAACTGGGAAGAAGCAACAAGAACCAAATGGGCTGGGTAATGTATCAGTAGATATACCAAAAAATGATATGTTTGCCTTTTCAGCATCCTCAGGAAGACAAAGCTGCTAGAATGCACTATTTCTATACCCCAGCCCTTTCACTGGCTACCAGCTAGCCACAAGTCCAAATACAGGTCACTTCAGTTTTAATACTGTTTGTTTTCCATCCTGCCATGTCCCACCTTGTCGCTTTGAGACTGTGAAACTGATATTGCAGTTTCACAACAGCGTAAATCTGCCAGAACCAGTCCTACTGCTACCTTTTCTTCCTGTGCAAGCAGAGATGCTGGTGAGTTACCTCTTCCCATCAGGACACGACAGGCAGCAGAGCTGCACCAGTCTCTAAGCCTCTGCTGGTTTAAGCTGAGACTGAACAACCTCCCTGTACCCTGGCTGCAGCACAGCCATCACTCCATGTTCCAGCACAAGCTCCTTCCCAGAGTCCCTCTGCACAGTCTGACAACTACCAGTCTAAAGACATACGTTTACATATGTTCTAACAAAGTCACCTAGTCTCACTGTGTATGTTACAAGTATGACAACTGCAATACAAAAGCTTGCCCTGTCCAAAAGCTGCAGTGCCCTTTCAGTATGAAAGTCTGCCATAAATATTTCCACTATTAACACAAAAGACATTAATATTTACAGTATGATACAAACCATATTATTCACAGCTTACATTTCAACCACAAGATAATTTATCTTGCCCATACAACTCAACAACACACATTTTAAAACAAAGTAGCACATTAAAGTTGCCAAAAAACTCCTTCTATGCATTTTGCTTTTCTTTATAAATCTGTCCCAATTTTACAGTAAATCAGTTCCTTTACATACCTCAAACTCTATGCTGATAGGAACAGAGCTCAAATGCTTTAGTCAGGCTATTTCAGAGCTTACCAAGATTATTTCAAAATGCTGTACTGGTGTTCCATGCATCAGAAAAGTACTTAGGATACAGGTATGACAAAAGAAATACGGCTTTGGAGATTTCTATTTCACTCAACTGTCCACTGTATCTCATATCTTTGTATAATTGCACACAACTTTGTGGCATTCTGAATTCAGGATCACATACAAGAAAAGTATCTTCAGATGAAAGCTATACCACAATAGTATTACCCATGAGTTAGCTATACTGTAGCAAGTACACAAATCTTAATTTTTTATTTTAAAAGAGTTGCATAAAAAACTTTGTACACAAGGAAAAAACCTTATTTATGACTATATATAATAGTTCACAAAATGCCAAGCACTGTAACCCCCATTCAATTGTTCAAAATCTGTTTTGCAGAAGCCAAACCAGTGACTTACATTATGAGTGGATAGCAAGCAAAAAAAGAGAGTACTTACTCCCAAATGACTAATTTTCTCATCCCATTGCACCTATTTCAAATTCTTACACCTTTATGGATGACGAATTTTCATGTCTTACACTCTACAACCAGAAACGTTGCCTTAAAATCCTTGTAGCTGTTTATAAAGTACATCTGTTCCCCTTTTCCAAGAACTGCTTACAGCTAAAATATTCTGTAGTATGCCCAGCTGATTCTTGAAATTATGCTTTTCAATTCAAAGACACAAGCACTACAAATTCAGCTGAAATGATGAAAAAAGACGAGTCAGTCAGACAAAGCCCAATGAGTGGTTAAAAGTAGAAAGTCAGCTAGTAGCTTTTTTTTTAATACATATACACACCTGAAACATACAGACTGTAAAAAGATACTGCTGTGTATCTATTACATCCAGATTCATACCTGTGTGAAGTATTTTCCATCTTGTTTCAGGACCTTCATTGAGAGGTCAAGAATCAACCGCAGAAATTCCCAAGTGGAATCTGCAAGAGAGTACGATTTAAAACAGAACAGCACATTATTGACTTGTTCCCTATTACATATTCAAGACTTGCAATGTATCTACTGTTTAAGAAGTAGCTGTCCTATATCTTAGAAACCAAACCAAAACTTAAACCAACAAGAAAAAGAACAGTTAAAACCCCCACACAACCTATACACAATGGCAATGATGGTAGAAGTATATGTTTTTCTTAACAGTAATTTTCCACATGCTTCTAAATTTACTGGAGCATGAACTTCCCAAATACTTCTTCAAGAGTTACATGAGTTCATATATGAGTTTAAAAAACACCTAGTCACTTGCTAGTTTTTTCTTAACATTCAAGAAAAATTCATGATGAACAGATGTGTTACTATCATTCTCTGCCTCTCAGATTTGCTATTAAAAAAGGCAAGAATCAAGGGGTTTTGCTGCAAGCTGCCAACTATTACACAGCAAAAGGCCAGAAACATGGAAAATCCTCAGAGTTTAAGAAAATAAATTTGAAGATTAACCTTCTTCTGGAGATGTGGAGATTGGAACAGCTGTCAGATCATTGATTACGTAATCAAACATCCTTCCTTCTTTGGCATACCTCTTCAATACGGGAATACAGTCTTCAATCAGAACCTGTAAGAATGAAATACTGTAGTCCTCAAAATACCCTAAAACTGACAAGTTAAAAGGAACAAATGTGGATTCACAGGAATTAAGAGGAGGCCAAAAGTACATAGTTAAATAATGCATTTGATTTTAGGCTCAATTTTCACCTTCTTATATAAAAAGGAATAGCAGTTGTAGGAATTAAAACAATGACAACATTGGCAATAAAGGGCTGATTTTCCTAGCTCTGTCACTGATCGCTGGGTGACCACTGTTCTATTTACCAGATGGTAACAACAATTAGCAGTCCCCTGACATAAAAAAAGGTATTTGTGTGAAAGGCCACATATGTAGTACCATGTTAATTCTCTGTTAATCTGTTGTGTGCCTTTTCTTAGCTCACATCTGTAAATAAGTATGAGAGCAAATTAAGGAGTGGTAATGAAAACAAACAAAAAAAAAAAGATTTCCTGTGAAGATCTCAGATTACACCCAGACTAGTTCATAGTGTCTGTAAGATAAAACACTTACATACAAATTCAGATATTCTCAGCAGCACAGGACAACTAACTTACACATGCATTTTTCTATCTTTTCATCAGTTTAAGGAATGATGTTTAACTTTTAACACAGCATCCTTACTGTTACTTCCTCTTTATTTGTAAGCAAGGCAATAAAGAGGCTCCCATTTCAAATTCCTTAAAAGCCATATATAATTATTTTTAAAAGAGCTTGAAAATAGTTAGAACATTTTGAAACCAATACTTATTTCCAAAGGAGGAAATCCTTCCCAGAATTAAGAAAAATCAGAAAACTTTTCCCCAAAACTTTACCGTAACAGTCTTCAAGGCTAGGTGCAACTGTATTTTAAGTATCACTTCTAATGAAGGAAAACAAAAACATTACCTGATAGCACTCTCCATTCAGATTGTCTAAGACATCTCCACATGTTTTACGCATGTATTTTTTACACCCGTCGATCACCATTTGGTCAATGTTTGAAGCTGGTTAAGGCATTCTACGTTCCCGAAGTAATACAGGTAGCAGTTTCTATTTCTTCAGAAATAAATTCTCAAAAAAGATGACACTCAAAGTAATAAGAGTAAGATGTGCATTTTGGTATACATATTGCAATAGCCAACCTTATGTATTCACCTCCAGATTCAGTTAGAGGCTTAGGAATGCTTATTTTTGTTTTTAACCACTATTTCTGATGCTTTAGGCTACCATTACTGTGAAAGCTTGAAATGTGAACAACAGGATTGTGTACTTAAAAACCCCATAAAGCTAAACTAAGACTTTAACCTATATTTGCAAACCAATTCTTTTTAGTTTTTAACAAGGGGATCCCAAAGCCTAGGGTGATCATATGGCTAACAGTGGTTTATATTACAAACTATTTGAACTACAGAACATTGAAAACCTGATTCGTATCAGTATGTTTAAGACAGGGCAAGAGTAGGTCATTCCACCACCAACACAGTTCACCGAGTCCTGATGTTCTTTTTTTGCTTCTAGGTTAATTTTCTTATAGCATTCTTTAGAAAATCAGAAGAACTCAAGAAAGCAGAATTCAGCCAAAACCACAGACCTGACAGACCTGTCCTCTGTTAACAAATATCAGTCTGATGACATAAATGTTCCTTTCCAGTTCTACATAAATTGCTATTCAAGAGTTATAGTATGGATTGAGAACCTGAAAGAATGTGTTACATAATGACGTACATATATGTAGTTGCTGAGTCTCTCTAAGCTGAAAAAAAGAAATTTCATTTTAAATCCTATCTCCTCATGAAAATCAGAACCTGACAATTAACTGTGCTCAATGCTATGATGTCAGCAGAAAATGCAGGTTGAAAATGTTGAAATCAATGATCAGTCATTCGTCAAAGGATATCTCTACCATAGTAACCATCTTTGGCTTCAGTTTGACTATCTCATATAGTATACCTCCATCACCACCTCCTAGGATTAGCACTTCTTTCCCAGTGTAGTCTTCCTTTCCGCTGCCCATTATGGCTTGAGTATATGCCAGATCACTCTCAGCCAGATCTGGATGAAAGGAAGAGTTGGACAGAAACATTACATCTTTAATTCTTAATAATTAGTATAATAAAGACCAAAATAAGAGCACTTACAGAAACAACCTAGCTCCCAGAGACAGTCGAGGTAATGAGAGGTTGGTGATTTAGCAAAGCTAGTAAGATCCTCCTCAAAATCCCCCACAGTATTAATATTAGGGCAAACCCAACAAGAGCCACTTCACATCAGGAAGTACTGTGTGGCGAGAGAAAAAGTTGTAGAGCAAAACTGTCAGCATTTCAGACATTCGTCCACACTTGATACTTGAATGAGTTTTTACCAGGACTAGTGCTGCAAGAAACAAATCGCAAGAATTTTGAAAGTACACTCTAGATGCCAACTAAAAAGTGCAACCTAGATGCACCCCAGCAGATCTGTGCACAGAAGTATGACTTAACACGTAACTGCTGAAAAGCCCTGAAGCCTGCTTTCTAGTTGACTTACTCTTTATTAGCTCCAAAGCAGGCAATAATGTCCCAAAGCTGTAATAGCACATCTGAGCTACAAGGGCAAAGGTTTGTGCAGCACATCATGGAATAGCATATCATTCTGGCTGGCAATCAGCACTTCACTTGTAAGTGTACAGTAACAAAATGATACCAAGCAGTATTTTAAAATCCCATGGAAGGTAAATAAATAATGGCATACCTCCCTTTCTGTAAGAAACACTGCGACAACATTCATAGAATCATAGAATAGTTAGGGTTGGAAAGGACCTTAAGATCATCAAGTTCTAATCCCCCTGCCATGGGCAGCAACACCTCACACTAAACCGTGTCACCTCAGGCTCTGTCCAACCTAGCCTCGAACACAGCCAGGGAAGGAGCATTCACAACCTCCCTGGGCAACAATGCCACACCACCCTAACAGGAAAGAACTTCTCCTTATATCCAATCTAAACTTCCCCTGTTTAAGTTTTAACCCATTACCCCTTGTCCTGTCACTACAGTCCCTAATGAAGAGTCCATCCCCAGCATCCCTATAGACTCCCTTCAGATACTGGAAGGCTGCTATGAGGTATTCACGCAGCCTTCTCTTCTCCAGGCTGAACAGCCCCAATTTGCTCAGCTTATCTTCATAGAGGAGGTGTTCCAGTTCCCTATCATCCTCATGGCCCTCCTCTGGACTTATTCCAACAGTTCCATGTCCTTTTTATGTTGAGTACATCAGAATTGCACACAATACTCCAAGTGAGGCCTCATGAGAGCAGAGCAGAGGGGCAGGATCACCTCCTTCGACCTGCTGGTCACACTCCTTTTGATGCAGCCCAGGATATGGTTGGCTTTCTGGGCTGCAAGAGCACACTGAAGCCGGCTCATGTTCATTTTCTCATTGACCAACACCCCCAAGTCCTTCTCTGCAGGGCTGCTCTGAATCTCTTCTCTGCCCAACCTGCAGCTGTGCTTGGGATTGCTCTTACCCAGGTGTAGGACCTTGCACTTGGCATGGTTAAACTTCTTAAGGTTGGCATCAGCCCACCTCACAAGCGTTTCAAGGTCCCTCTGGATGGCATTCCTTCCCTCCAGCGTATCAACCGAACCACACAGCTTGGTGTCATCGGCAAACTTGCTGAGGGCGCACTCAATCCCACTGTCCATGTCAGCGAGAAAGATGTTGAACAAGACCAGTCCCAACACTGATCCCTGAGGGACACTACTCATTACTGGTCTCCAGCTGGACACTGAGCCATTGACCACAACTCTTTGTGTGCAGCCATCCAGCCAGTTCTTTATCCACCGAGTGGTCCACCTATCAAATTGATGTCTCCCCAATTTAGAGACAAGAATGTCGTGTGGGACAGTGTCGAACGCTTTACACAAATCCAGGTAGATGACATCAACTGCTCTACCCCTGTCCATCAGTTCTGTAGCCCCATCATAAAAGGCCACCAAATTGGTGAGGCAGGATTTCCACTTCGTGAAGCCATGCTGGCTGTCACCAAGCACCTTGTTGTTTTTCATGTGCCTTAGCATGCCTTCCAGGAGAATCTGCTCCAAGATTTCACCAGACACAGAGGTGAGACTGACTGCTCTGTAGTTCCCCGGGTCATCCATTTTCCCCTTCTTGAAAATGGGGGTTATATTTCCCTTTTTCCAGTCGTTGGGAACTTCACCTGACTGCCACGATTTCTCAAATATGATCGATGGTGGCTTAGCAACTTCATTTGCCAGCTGCTTCAGGAGCCGTGGATGGATTTCATCAGGTCTCATGGACTTGTGTACATTCAGGTTCTTAAGATGGTCTCAAACCAGATCCTCTCCTACAGTGGGCCCAAGGTCTTCATTCTCACAGTCCCTGCATCTGCCTTCCAAGACTTGGGTGGTGCAGTCAGAGCCTTTGCCAGTGAAGATGGAGACAAAGAAGTCATTCAGAACCTCAGCCTTCTTCAAAGCCTGTGTAGCTAGTTCTCCCGATAGCTTCCAAAACCTCATCTCCATATGAACTAATAAAAGTTTCTGGCTAGAAGTATGGAAAGCCTAGTTTGGAGATTTCAAATACAATTTGACTGAATTAGAAAATACCTTGCTAATGAAATTCAGTAATACTTTTCAACTGCCATCTGCACAGAAACCTCCAAGAGGTGCAGAAAGCTAAGTGAACAGTTAAGAGATATTTCTGGTGATTTTGAAAAGCTATAGTCAAATTTCTTAATTACTCTGCCATTAGACTGAAATTACGTATTCTATCCCTAGACAGCAACATGTCTCATTTATATCACTCAGTACTTTTCAACGTAAGTCCTGAGATATTTTACAAAGCATACCCCTCCTTGATGTCTAGATTTTCTAACAAGCTGCATTCTTACCTAGTTTGAAAGAACAGTACCTTCTCCCAAGTTCACTTTCAAAATTACAAAGCTGGGCAGACAGAGTACCACATATACAGACAATCTCATAAGGCTGGGTTATTCTTCTCATTAACTTAAGAGTTCAACTAAGCATTCTGAAGGAGACAAAGTCAGATGACGTTCACCTACAAAGCAGTAAATGGTTTACGATACAGCTGTCCTGTACCTCATCAAGCAAGTAGGTCCTCTAGAGAAACAAGGGAACAGCAGTTTTATACAGATACACCTGCCCCCAGCTCCTACTTCTTTATATTTCTTTAGAATTCCACTGTATTTTGAAGACTGGCAAAGTACCTTATTTTACTGTCAAGGAGAAGCCCTCAAGGAAGTTGGACTTGCAACAAACAACAAAAGCTCAAATGAAAGAAGTAGAGTAAGCTCTCCCAGACAACACTGACTTCTACACTCATGACAACTTTGAAAATTTTCTTTTTACTCTAGATTTTACATTGCTCAGATTTTCTGATTAAAATGCTTTATACAGAGACACATATTGTACTTTATACAGAGGAACATTTATGTGGGTACATGCATGCATCCCTGCCCATGGCAGGGGATGATCTTAAGGTCCTTTCCAACCTTAACTATTCTATGATTATTCTGTGATTAGCTTCCAGCATCAGAACCATGACTGCTAGTAATCTCTTAAAACTGTCCCATAGTGAGATAGAAAACAACACTTGCTACATTTTCACACAGAGGATCCTGAAATGAGATGATACGTACTGACATCCCCACTGAGGATAAGAATATTCCCAAACTGTTTTGAATGCAGGATTTTAATATTTTGAAAGGGTGAATCTTCGTCATAAACAACTTCATCTATGTCGTACTCCACCAGGCGCCCATCAGCTGTGGGCCAGTATCTATCGATGACACCTCCCCTCAAAATGGCTGGCAATCTAGAGAGAAATAAGAAAAAGTATTACAAAACATTTGAGAATGTTTATTAAAAAACAAATCCCTCTAAACATACTGTGGATTCACCATAATAAATACTTAAAAGAGGGATCTAAGAAAACTTGCAAGATTTAACACTCGACAGGTAAGCCTACCAGCCATATGTTAAATACACATAACTTGTTAAGGCACTGATGAAATATTATATGGTTCTTCTTCAGGTACAACTTCTATAATATGTACATGAACCTCTCTATCGTTAAAGAGGATATTAACAAAACACGGCTAGAAACTGATAAAATACAAAAGCAGACTTCGGATCAAAAAATATGACAAAACCTCTTCCCATCTTCAGCTCAGCTAAGAACACCATTTCTTTGGGTTAGTGGACCTCACCCTCCAAAAGTTGTACTGAGAGACATTTTAAATACATACACAAACACAAAAAGTGAACTACTACAGTGTTTCAAACTGAGCCAGGTCACCCTGCAGTTTGTAAGCACAAACTGGTATCAGCTGACAGTTTGTGTTACTTTTAAAAAGCAGTTCGAGCACCTGCATAGATTGTTTTGGTTTCGTTGTCTGCATGGTTTTTAAATTCTATATAGAGGTAGCTTTTTCTAAATCAGTACTTCACCTGTAAGGACAAACTATATTTGAAGTGGCAGTGAATGATGAAAATGATTGCATTCCATTTCAAGCAAAATGTGCAGGTACAGAGTTAATGAGATTTCCTCACACACTTCAAAGTTAAAAGCCAGGAGGGTGTAGCAGAAGACCAGACAGACAAGATGGTTTTAAATTCAGCAGTGATTCTCAGTGAGCATTCCAGAAATATCTTTTACCCTCAGTGAGCCGCCAGATGGCAGCACATGGTGAGAACAAGACCATCTATTCACCACATCAAAACACTTAAAAGGCAGGAACAACTTTCCCAGCAGTTATTAATCCTAGGGCAGCTGCATGTTTGAAGCTAATACGAGAAGGATGCAAAGACATTTATTTTGACGGATGTTTGACAAGATCCATACCAGATCCGTTGCTGTAGGAGGTTCATCTTCCTATACCAAGGTAGGTATAGGAACCAAATTTATCCAGATCACTTCAGGCAGACCTTTTTCCTGATCCATTTTTAACAAGTTCCTATCATAGGGATTCCACAAACTCTCAATATCATATTTCAGTATTAAAATACCCTCAGAGAGTGTGCTTCTCCCCGATATACACATATATTTGCAGACTGTGTGCCACGTGAGGATTTACCGGTACAAATAAAGGAAGACAACTACCTTTCTTTTACACACAACTATATTACACCTTGAAGGTTTCCTGTGTGTAATTACTTTTCAAATCACTACCACTTCACTTGTGGTCTTGTACAGCCTTCAGATTAACTTTCTACTGTAGTACTGCTTTGCAGTTTTCCCATTCCGTAGTTTGCTCCTTTGCTTTAGAGAATCTTGTTGATTTTACACTGCCTTTTTACTTTTCTTAAAGTACTTCCACTTCTGTGTTCTTTAAAGCACCTCCTACACCTTCCAGCAAATGCATGCCTTAAGTAAGTGCTCTTTGATTTTGAGTTGCCAGTCACTGCCACTCATCAGGAAGACACCAACATGATGTGTGTTCTTCCAGATCCCTGGGAAGCTCCAGCATGAATGAATACTGCTTCAGCAGCAGGCAACAAATCACAATCAGCACCCGTACAGTTCAATGTATCACCTTGTATTCAAAGTCAACCAAAACGAGAGAAGGCTTGCAAAGCCTCCCTCCTTTAGTTAAATTAAAACATTTCTACCTTCTTGGCAGGGCCCTGAAGCACAGAGGTTCCCCGCTGGCATTTTTGCCACAAGTGCCCAAGGTCAGCACACCAAAAGCCACAGCAGGGACAAAGGCGTTAGAGAGAGAGAGCTGTGGGAAACCTTAACAGGGAAGGGCCTCCTCCATAGGTTTGAGCTTTGTTTTAGCTCCAGCCCTCACCCCTGGTCCCTGCCCAAGCTACAGTGCAGCTCTGCCCATACCTGCCCAAGTATTTCACCTGTCCTTGACACCTACTACCTCAGTCTCAGAGGTGCCTCAATACTACAGCCCAGCCTGGCAGTGACAAGGCTGGGGCTGACCCCGGTCACCATCACCAGCCCATCTCACCTTGTCCACAAGCTATGGGATGTGTCCTAACAGGTATGGTTCATGCCCTGGCCTATCCCCCTGACACCCTTGCTCTCCAGGACTCCCAGAGTAGTCTGCACTCACTTCCAGATTCCATTTTCTCCCACCACTTCATTCAACCACTGCAGCAAAGTAAAGAAATAATCCTTGCCCAAAGCAACAATATTGAAAATGAAGCTTACCAATATAAAAAACCCCACATGATCTTCAATTCTTCAATTAAAACAAATTTAAAATATTGGGGGGAAAACCACATATGCATGAATACATAATCCAGGCTATTCATCACAGTACAACAAAGCATAATTTGCTTATTATCTTTAGCAACTATGCAGACAAGCCACATACAGAAGCAGATGTCTGAACTTACCGTTTCACCCTTTTTATGTTACCATGAAACAATTCTTTCATTCTGTCTTCTACTTTGTTTAGAAGCTGAAAAAAAAATAGCAAACAAAAGGTGGAAATTATAGGCAATCATTTGATGTAAAATATCTGTTAAATTAGGCTACTTGGAAGGCAATAAATAGGAGCACCTGTACTGAAAGACTTTCAAATGCAACATTAGAAGCCTATGAATAACTAGCTGGTCACCTTAGCCTCCTTACTGGCAAGAATGTGCATACTGTAACAGCTGTCATCACTGCTTTTAGTTCCCATCCAGGATAACATAGCCAGATCTTTTAGTCACAGACAAACAAGAAACATGAGAACCCTGTAAGTTACATTCCTGTCAAAGCAGTGGCCTGTTCCCTTGCAATGTCCAATTTCTGGAGCCTTCGTATCAGGGAAGATGAAATTATTTTTCTCCATGGAGAAGAAGTTACTGTATAGAGGCTCCCAATCTGTCAGATTAGAGACAGAAAAAAAAATAAAAATAATCCATTTCACCAGGTTACAAGTTGAGGATCAATTCTGCTGCACTACCCTGGGTACTCAAAGAGACCTGAGCCCTAGCCAAGGCTGGTTATGTCTTTACAACTCTTACAGCAAACAACACGAGGCCTGGGACATGCAAAATAGAATTCGTACATTCATGTGTGTATTCAACTACAAAAGGCGTAGTGAGGATGAAATTCTTTACAATGAGGGTGGTAAAATACTGGGACATGTTGCTCAGAGATGTGATGGATGCCCCACCCCTGAAGACATTCAGAGCCAGGCTGGATGTGGTTCTGGGCAACCTGATCTAGTTAAAGATGTCCTTGCTCACTGCAGAGGGGTTGGACTAGATGACTTCTGAAGGTCCCTCCCAACCAAAACTACGATTCTATACTCATCTGTAAGCACTCAGGTTTGAACTAACCTTGATATTTAAAAATCTTTCACCAAAACATACTTTGACAAACCTGAAGACAAAGGACTCCCCATGCAGTTTGAGAAACCTAGTAAGATAAGCATCATACATACCTGATCAACTTCCTCTCTTCCTTTTGTATAATCGCTGTAGCTCTGCAGATCCACCAACACTAAACCATGAGGGTGAATTCTCAAATTGGCAAAACTACAAAATAAAGAGAGATATTAATTTATTATTAAAATTTATAATGAGTAAAGAAAGACTAAAACTGGTTGTATTAAATTCAGAATGCCTGTTTCTTTTGCCAGCCATCTGTAACTGTTGGCAGGGCCAGCTCCAGTCTTCCTACGCAAGTCACTAAGCAACAAAGTTGAAAAAGCGTACTAGTCACTACATAACTAATAAAATCAGCAGGCAACAAGGCAGCTCTTTAAATAAGGCTACTTCAGTTGTGTTGGTTTTGATTTTTAATTGAAATCAAGCCTCATAAAAACAGCGGAACATTTTCCTTCCCTCTGCCTTCCTTCTCACTCCTTGGGGTTTTGTTTGTTTTTAACTTTGTAGCTACTATACACAGCGTTCACGTTCAGAGCTCAACAAAAATTTCTAAGTGAGAAACAGCAAGTGTTCTGGAGCAAACCATGACTTTGATTGGCAAAGAAATTAGAGTAGCAAACTTTCACTGATGAATACAGATGCAAGATAGACAAAACTCCTACTATGTATTGTATTACAGGAACATTTAAAGATCAAAGAGCATGGATGGCTTCACCATGCAAGGTGCTGGCTGGACAAATAGAAGACCTTCAAGAGCTTGCAAAAAAGAAAAACGAAAGATAAGGGCTATGGAGAAGGACACAAGAAAATACAAAGAGTAGCAGAGGTGATATTCTTTCCATACGAGGGAGGGGAGAAGACAGTAAGAAACAGAAAGGCTATGGGGGACTACACAGATGGATGAGAGGGGAAGTAAACACTGAAAGAGGAGAGCAGAGAGGATAGGAACATCTGAGCAAAGCAAGCAGGGTATTCAGGAACGGAAATTCCTTAGTACAACACAAAAAAACTGCAGGTAAAGTTGTATACACTCCTTTGAATGCCCCTTTCTTTGCTTACCTGCTTTTATCACCCCATTCACCCTCAAAGGCAAACCACAACCCAGCTTCCGTGGAGACAAAAAGTTTAGGTGACATCACCCCACCATTCCCACCTTTCTGTGTCACTTCCAGAGCTCTCTGACTAAACTGTCACTCAATTTGAACACCATCTTTCCCCTGGTGGCTGAACCTTGACAAGCAAACACACTTAGCTGCAGTCAGACAGAAAATACTAAATATCCTGTTTTATCTGAAAATTGTAATTTTTAATAACTAAAGTGGTCACGTTGTGAAAGTGACTAAAGTGATTCAAGAATAAAAACACTCTTGCAGGCTTTGGCCAGCAAGGATCTGTAGCTGTGATGTGTTTAGCAGTTGACAGAGAAGCTAGAATGTCACTTGCTTCTCTACAAAAGATGAGTCTGGGAAGTGTCGAGCTTCCTAGAAGACTTAAACCACATGGATCTTGCCTTAAGGAGGAAAGATTCTTCTAACAAGATGCCCACAGGAACATCGTGTTTTGTTTCCCCCTCCCCAGTACCTGCAGATTGTCACAAACTGACCCTCCCCACACCTACGCAGCGGCTGTCCACTAGGTGTCCTCCCGACAACTATTTTTGATTAGGAACTACAAAACATCTGTGCTCCCGATGGGCATTAAGAGAAACCACAGAAAAGCCTTAAAATATGCATTCTCCCCGCACTAGGAAATTACTCCTGCACAAAAGAAAACACAATATTTTACCCTGATGAAAAGATGAACAGAAAGTAGTCACGAAGTAAACAAAGACGGTTTTTCTGCCCCCCCCCCCCCCCTTTTTTTTTAAACTCAATTACCACATAGAGTAGTAGTTAAAAGAGACTGGGGTTTGTCAGCTAATTAAAAGAATTCGTGACATTTCCAACGCAGCTTTCTCTCATACAAGCTACATAAGAAAGTGTTTCAGGAGAATCAGCAAATTCATTCTACTGCACTCCTAACAAAACCAAAGTAAAGGAGGAAGCTCTTCTGAACTTCAGCAAACACTTCACCTGCATCTTTTAGGATACTGCACCACACTTGCGGCTGTCACAGTTCAGTACTTTTGATACATGGGCCACTTCATACTTTGCATAGTGACCACACCATCTTACAGCTTAAAGTGATGTTCCCAGCAGTACTAATAAAACCCAAGGACAGTTAAAAAGTAATAATAAAAAGGCACACTCCCAGTCTCCCTCCCATCAATATGGGGCTTCAGAGGTTTTAAACACATCTGTCTGAACCAAAGGGACTCAAATTGTGCACTTCTCCTAGAGTCTTTCGGCACTGAGCATAGAGGGAATGGCTACTGCACAGGACGGCTCTGGATATAAGTCCTACCAGGACTTTGTTCATGTGATTTTCATGTCAGCAAAGGTTTGCTTTGTACTGTGCCTAACAAGAAAGGAAAACAAAATAGCCGGGAATAAGCATAGGAACAAACAGCAGTATCATAAGACTTTGGGAGATATCTTTGGTTTGTTTGTTGCTTTTTTTTTCCTCCATTTTATTAAAGACTAAAGAGCAAAATTCATTACATGAAGCACTGGTCCTTCCAGCAGGTTTTGGATGCAACCATTCACAGTGAAAAGGGATGTTTTTCTAGTGACCTCCACAGTCCTACGGCAGGCCCTCAGAGCTGAGGCACTACAGTTAGAAATGAGTATTTGCAGCTCCTTAGACACAACTGTGAACTTCCAAGTTCTCCGGTATCTGGCACAGTGTCAGATATATCTGCAGTGCGAGAAAAACTTTAAATGAGTTTATCCTTGTATTCCAGGAGTTGCCATTAACACAAATAAACAACAGATTGTCCCATGACTTGAGCTGTTTTAAATTCCTTTCCTAACAGAATCACATAGCTGTCATAAGATTTGACAGCTAACATTGTTTTCACTTCCCCTGTGACTGCATGAAGTAGTTCCTCAGTAGGCAATGTTACCACCATTGCTTTGGGGTTTGGTTTTTTTTGGATGGGAGGCAGAGAGGAGCATTGCTCTGAAAAGTAAAACCCCAAAACTTCAGACTTAACTGTAAGTGATATGACAGCATTACAGTACAGAGACAGTAATACTGCAGAACTTGTCAAACTGTTACCTCTACCAGAACTGCAAAGCCCTGACACCTGAGGGTAGAGATGAAAAGCAGGCACCAGTCTGGAGCACTGCAGTGGGACAAAAATTCAAGTTCTGAGTATTGGGCCAATAGTCTCAGACAGTTAATTTATGGTGAACAACCTTGACTGAAACTCAAAATCCTTAAAGAAGGCAATACAGTTCTACGCTGGTTATACCTTGGTTAAGTCACCCACTTGGAAAGTAACACTCAAAATAACCTAAAATGCCTGCAAAGATTTAAAGACACAGCAAACAGTAGAATTGTACATTCAAAAAAGTGACCAGTCTAGTAGCATTAAGGCAATAGCAGCAGGCCAAGGCTGAACCACAAAAGACTTACTGGCTTCAATCAACAGGGAGCAAAAGGCTATGCTGGCTTTTGTTACTTTACATTTGTTTGCCTGGCTGTAAACATGTGAATGTGGCTTAGCAGCAGCTCTTTAAATATTTGAATAAGGTTTTTAAGAACCACGATACTACAGTTTCCATTTATACCTAAGAAAATATAGTAAAGATTACAAATCAAATTAAGGGGGAAAAAAAAAGCGGGGGGGGGGGGGGAAGTTTTTTTCAAAAGTCTTCGCTCTTGCCTTACTGAAAAATTTAATTCCCGATTTAAAAATAAACCACCTGCAACACCTTTGTTGTGTGCTCACATGTACTTATCAGAAAAGCATCTCTCCATTAGGAGACAAAACCCCACTTCCTGTTGCACCTGCATACCTATCTTCTAGGGTAGTACTAAAGCTTTTTGTGCTTTGATTCTCAACTACACACAACTCTAGTACTGCATCTTGCCACCTGAACAGATGTCAAGAAATAAATATCAACTGCACAAATCAGAAAGTAACTTTGAAAATGAGAAAGGTTTTGGATGAGTATCCTCTGTTTAAAAAGAGCCAGAAGAACGGAGATCAACACATTCTAAGCCAGTCTGTGTATTCTACCTTAGTTACCTCTATTGAGTAAGAAACACTGCAATCCCACATAGCTGAAAACTATTTGGAAAATTATTTCCCACACACAATACCCAAAGAATAAAACTGTACAGGCAGGCAGGTGCCTACAAACTTCCCTTCAACTGCCAAAGGTTTTATCTGCTGACAGACTAACTCTGAATCACTACAGAAAACAGTTCAAGGATTTGGAAGGCAGACACAGGGACTGTGAGAATGAAGACCTTGGGCCCACTGTAGAAGAGGATCTGGTTTGAGACCATCTTAAGAACCTGAACGTGCGCAAGTCCATGGGTCCTGATGAAATCCATCCACAGCTCCTGAAGGAGCTGGCAAATGAAGTTGCTAAGCCACTGTCCATCATATTTGAGAAATCATGACAGTCAGGTGAAGTTCCCAACGACTGGAAAAAGGGAAATATAACCCCCATTTTCAAGAAGGGGAAAACGGATGACCCGGGGAACTACAGACCAGTCAGTCTAACCTCTGTGCCTGGCAAAATGTTGGAGCAGATTCTCCTGGAAGGCATGCTAAGGCACATGAAAAACAACAAGGTGCTTGGTGACAGCCAGCATGGCTTCACTAAGGGGAAATCCTGCCTCATCAATTTGGTGGCCTCCAATGATGGAGCTATGGAACTGATGGACAGGGGTAGAGCAGTTGCTGTCATCTACCTGGATTTGTGCAAAACGTTCGACACTGTCCCACACGACATCCTTGTCTCTAAATTGGGGAGACATCATTTGGATGGATGGACCAGCCAGTGGATAAAGAACAGGCTGGATGGCCGCACATAAAGAGTTGTGGTCAATGGCTCAATGTCCGGCTGGAGACCAGTAACGAGTAGTGTCCCTCAGGGATCAGTGTTGGGACCGGTCTTGTTCAACATCTTTCTCGCTGACATGGACAGTGGGATTGAGTGCCCCCTCAGCAAGTTTGCTGATGACACCAAGCTGTGTGGTTCGGTTGATACGCTGGAGGGAAGGAATGCCATCCAGAGGGACCTTGACAT